TAAAGTTTGCTGAATCAACATGTGTATGAATTATGCTATATATGGTTGTCCAATAAAAAATATTTGTCTGGAACAGAAAAGGGTGTTCTGAACAGGTTTATTAAGCACAAAGGCTCCATTAGCTGCTTAAATGCTAAATCTACTCATCAAACAAGCATTTCAATTTTAATATTACATTTACAATGTTGAATGTTTTTGACCTAATAAATTCAGATCTTTGACACCACTTCTGACCTCACTGGTCAGAAATTTGACTAGATTGTTATCTTAAAGTTGGAGCCACCAATGCTTAATATGCAGGTCATCCATTTATTTTGTCCACATCTCATCAGTTTCCACTCAAAGAAAATAATATTTGCACAGCTTTACATTACACCTGTTGACAGCATCTTACCTCAGCAGTCAAAAACAGTTTTTGGCACTTCCAGGTTCTACGCCTGCTTCGAAAAGAAAGGTTACTTCAATTTTTGTCAGTGATTACCCATGTGACCTAATACCCCCATCCATCCAACCATTTTTCGTCATGCTTATCCCTGCTGGGGTCATGAGGGGTGCAGGTGCGGGGTCCACATACACAAACAGGACAAACAGCCATCCATGCACACACTCACACCTAAGGAGAATGTAGAGGAGCCAATTAACCTAACAGTCATGTTTTTGGAATGTGGGAGGAAGCCAGAGTACCCAGAGAGAACCCACGCATGGTCAGGGAGAACATGCAAGCTCCATGTAGAAAGACCCCAGGCCAGGGATCCAACACAGAGCGTTCTTGCTGCAAGGCAGTAGTGCTACCCATTGCACAACTGAACAACCCTAACATCTCCAAAATTTCATTAACGATCTGCTTCTACATTACAGACTCTCCTCATCTTTATCAGTGGGAGAACTTGTACCAACAGTGGTTGGCTCAGTATTTTTTTTACCCTGTGGCACCACCACTTACTCACTGCCAGAACTATTCTTCAACTTTGCTGCTGTGTGAATCATCTCAATGGCCTAAAGCATTGACTTGGCCTGTACTTTTATCATAGCTACATTTCAACTACGAGAGACCAAATTGATATTTTTGTACATTATGGTAGAAAATAACTATTTGGTCAATAAAAAAAGTTCATATTGTTGGGATAATTAACACTGATGATGTGTGAGTTTATTACGCCCTAATATTAGCTGCCTGTTGGGTGTCAGAACTGATGTTTTCCATAATAGTTTATCTAATTAAGACAGTTCCTCTGTCCGGATTAACCGTTATAATTTTCATTCTGTACTTAAAGCGTTTGTCCCGAGTGATCTCTTTTCAGGAAAAAGAACCGGAGAGAGAAAGCTCCAAGATGTAGACGCACAGAGAGCCTATCTTTAATAATCTCAAAACTGTGTAGCATTCATTTTGTTGGAAGTGGTGAAGGTAGCATGTTTATTGTCAAACTGGGCTCACAGGGAACGTGAGGCCACTGCAAGGAACCAAAATCTATGTGACACTCTAATTAGCCCAATGTATGAGGTTAACAAGGTCATGCGGATCAATTAAGTCTTTCCTCAGGAAGGACATTTGGCCAGATGATATAGCGGCCTCTGGATCAAGCTCCTGAACAGAAATGGGGGGGAGCTACTGGATGATGGCGCCGTTCAGATTGGAAGACTCCTTCATGTGCGGCCTTCTTTTCACCAGTTTCAAAGGACAGGTCTAGTGTATGCTTCGTAGCTTTGGGTATCCTATGATTCATTGCGATTCCAATGTCATGATCTGGCCTGTTTGCTC